CCCGGGCTGGAGTGCAATGGCACAATCTCAGCTCACTGCAACCTCCACCTCCAGGGTTCAAGAGATTCTCTTGCCTCAGTCTCCCAAGTAGCTGGGATTACAGGTGCCCACTACCATACCTGGCTAAATTTTTTGGATTTTTAGTAGAGATAGGGTTTCACCATTTTGGCCAGGCTGGTCTCCAACTCCTAACTACAGGTGATCCACCTGCCTCAGCCTCCCAAAGGGCTGGGATTAGGCATGAGCCACTGTACCCAGCCTAATATTCTGCGTTTTATTCCATAATGATTACCTGGAACCTAAACTGATCTTACAAATTAAGAAATAGAATTAGCATTCAGAAGGCAAAAGAGAACCTACTCTGTACACGGTGCTGTCTGTGTGTGTTTGTGAGTGTATGTATGTATATCTGTATATCTATGTATGTATAATTTTTCATAAGTAATAAAAAAATCAGTGTATTTAATTTTGAGACTTTTGTTCAATGTGATGTGAATGTATTGTACTTTTATTTCATTGGCTATTATGGCTTAGAAAAAGTTTTTGTTCATTTTCAGCAAATAGGAAATGAAAAGCCATTTCTTTTGTTGTACCTTTGTTTATAGGAACTTCTGAAAAATAAAATGTGTACCCTTTTATTTCTGTAATCATTGAAAAATCCTTCTATATGTATCAGAAAAAGTGTTATTAAAAAGCTAAAATTTTGGTAACAAAGAAAACAACTGAATAGGGCCAAATGAACAGAAAATTCTTTCATGGTAAAAGTGATAACATGATTGTAAGAAAATGGACAATTGCTAAATCAAAATGAATGACTACTAAAGTCTATCTCTGATCTCTTACCATTCACTAATTCTAATAATTGTTGTATATGCCATCTCTAATCATTTAGACATAAGAAGAATTTCCTAAAAATTGGATTGCCAAAATTTTTATAGAAACCATCTTAGAGTGTAACGACCTTCTCCTTGACACCCAAGAGTTACTCACACAGTTGCCACTTCAACATTCCCAATTCATAAGGCATTATGTAGCTATGCAAATTCTCCAGGCCTGACTCATGCTCTCGTGTGTGTTTCATCTGACCAGAAACAAATATTGGCCTTCTTCTTGTCCATCAGAAAGTGTCAAGGCACTGTTCTATTACAAAATAAATATATAAACGACTGAATGAATATTAAAGTTTCCATCCCAGTAAAATCTATACACCTGTTTTCTTCCAAACACACCATAAGCCATCTTCCCTGTATATTCCCTCTTTCTGGAATGGCCATCCCTGTCTTTACCACCTGGTCCTTTAGTAGTCTTATCAGTAGTATGAAGTCTTGCTTGAACAACCCCAATTTTGAGAATTTCCCACTCTGCTGAAATCCTGTATCATAGTTTGTCTTTATCAGTTGTTTGGTATTTATGCTTTTAGTCTGACATGTATGTTTGCATCTTTTGAAATCCCACACTTAGCCTAACATATTTAGCAAATACTTATCAGTATTTTTATTTAATTGGAGCTACAAAATCAGGCAGACCACAAACTTAATGGTAGTTTTGACCTTTCCTTGCTGAATAATCTTAAATTCCCTGAACTTCAGTTTCCATGGTGTAGAATGCAGATAATAGTAACTCTATCCTGACTATAATAATTAGTCAATAAATAGTGGTGTTGCTGATGCTTCTGATGACAATGACAGATAACAACAACATCAACAATGACTATTTTTTTTCATTCTTTCCCTTCATTGTGCTTGAACTGATTTGACATTTTCCATAACATAACCTGGATACTTTATTTATTCTTTGTATTAAAAATATTTCCTTTGTTTCAGCCAAACCCAAAGTCCCTTTGTTTCAGCCAAAACCCAAAGAATCCATTCAAGTTACGTCCCAAGTTTGATATGTTCATAATCATTCTCTATCACAGTGGATACTTTTTTATTATTTTAGTACAATTATGATCATTTTTTGTCCTTACCCATAATTAAAATTATGTGATACTTGTCAAAGCAGAAGACTGACAAATAATATTATGAAGCAGAATTGAAAGACCAGAAATATACCCGATTATCTTTAAGAATTTATATCTTTTCATAAAATTTTAAATCAGTAGAGGAAAGATAGATTATTTAATGAATGGTGTTTTTATGTTCAGCTGAGGGGGAAAAATGGATCCAAAGCTAGCACAAGCCACTAAAATACACGAGATATTTTAAAAGTTAGAAGACAGAAACAGAAAGAGAAACAATGAAAATATCAAAAGAAAAAAAATCAAAGACTTTTTATATTAGGAAAATACTTTTTAATAAATCAGTGTTATATATCAAATCTTTTCAGTGGTAAAGAACTAATTTATTTAATTAACACAGAATTCCTACAAACCCATCAAAATGGTTGAAGACTATAAGCAAATAATTCCATTAAAAATGTATACTGTCTGTAGTTCTTAAACACATGAATTGGTTCTCAACTTGAATTATAAAATAGAATCATATACCACTTTCACCTATCAGATGGGCAAAAAATAAAGAAAAAATTGATGGCAGCCTACTAATGAAGATGTGTGGAAGCAGAATCTCAAATTAAAGATGGAAATTTAATTGTTTAAAATGTTATGGAGGTTTATCAGTTATCTTTTACATTTAAAAATACATGTATTTTCACAAAGCAATTTTGCTTTTAAGCAAAAATTTTCTTTTGCTAATTACAGATATACTAAGATATGTTCAAAATGATGTATGTATGATAATATTCATAGTAGTTTTAGTTGTAAAAAAATGAAAACAAATACTCATCAATATAGAATTGGTAAAAAGATTTTGCTATACTCATCTAAATAAAATCCCTTTTACTTTAGAAAGCACTCTACAAGCTAACTGTAAACTATCCCAAGATGTATTATTACATTTCAAAAGCAATATGCAGTCTGTGTGCATAATATTCTACTTTTCATCTAAAAGAAGTATTTATTTACTTACCTTGAGTGCAGTTGCATAGAACATCTCTGAATGGATACAAAAGAAATTAGGTGCAATGTTTTTAGAGAGGAGAAAATAGGCAGAGAGAGAGGAAGACTGGAAACTTAATTTTTATTGTAGTCTCATTTGCATCTTTTGGATTTTGTAACCTAGATACATTGCCTATTTAAAAGAGTAAGAAAAGTAGATAAGTTTTGAAAACCCTATAATTAGCCATGTTTTGAGAGCAACAGCAACAGACTGTATAATCTCCTCAAATCTTTTTATATAAACACAGAATTTAGACCCTGCCAATCTGCCACTTAATTATTTTAATCATGTGGAAGGGAATGAACTTGAAGATGATCTTCTGTTTGCCTTTTGAGACCCACTCCACCCTTTCTCTGCCTCTGACCTGGAGGTTCCCTTCCATGGACAACGTCCAGAGTCTCTCTTGCCCCTGGCTTTTGGTTGTATACAGCCGATTGGCAGTGCCGGCAGGAGATTACAGGGAAAAAAGAGAATTCAGGGTATGTATTCTCTGCCTCCCTATCTGTGATACTCTCCTTCAACTGGCTGTGTCTTCATGCTCCTTTCATGGCTGCTGACTTGTTCTTGAAGTCCCACACCTCAGGCCTGAGTGTTAACAGCATCAATGTCACTGGCCCCAATGTACGGTCTACTCTTTGTGATTTTCCTCCCTGCAACCTTTTTTAACAGTCCCATTAAACCTTCCTCAAGTTGTTTGAATGGTGATAATCTTCTGTTTAGACCCTGTTACAGTGGAGGAAGCAGATATTGTTGTTATCATTTTGCTGTAATTAATATAGGAATGAATAAAACTGAATATTTAATCATTGGCATGAACCATGTACAAAAGCATAGTTATGGAATTTTATATTAACTTCAAAAGAAAATCTATGTTGAAACAGAGTCTTTATTCAAAACGAAGGCCACTCTGTTTTGTCTGCTTCTGTATATATACAGTCTACTGGTTTCAAAGGCCTTTCTCCTTTCACTTTTTCTTCTTTTAAATTCGATTGCTTGACATCTTACTATTTAATGGCACACATACCATAAAATAGAGAGTAGGTAAGAGTCCAATGAATTTTTTTTATTTAGAAGGGATGAAAAATATATTGTATCTCCTGTTAGGTGGCAATCTTATACTTCTGTTTCTTCCCACTGCTCCATGGTACTTCACCTTTGTTCAAAAGTTGAATACAGATGATTGAGCTAAATATTGTAGTAACTTCCTCATTATTAATATAAGGGTATTCACGGTACCCCTACGTGGTTCGTGTGTTAGATGAATCATTTTTTACTCAGGGCCACGTGATATTATGACCCAGGAGTGGTAATTCCACAACACACGGCAATTGACAGTGGCCCTTTTTGCTTGTGGCAAGGTTAAATTTGTGTTATTTTGAATGACAGAATGACGACAAGACTTTTTAATAACTACGAAGTAACCATCACAAATTTTTTCCAAACAGATGTTCAGTGGTTATCTTGTGACAGAATACTCAAACAAGTTGTCAAACTTAAGAATGATTTGTGCATTTTCTTTTTAAAATGAAATTTTCAAATTTACAGCCTTTTTTGTGATGTCTAGTGGGTTGCCATTTGGCATATATCCTATTAACACACAGACACACGCACTTCATGTCAGGTGCCCCTTCAAGATAAAGGTAATTTTTCACGGTAATGGAAAAGCAAATATTATTTGCTTTAAATATGTTACAAAGGGAGTATTCTGAAAATGTTATGTTTGTTTGGATATGTTTGCATAACTACCTGGATTTGTTAACAGAAAATATGTAAAAGCATGATCTGAAAACATCTAGTGTCTGTGTACTTTTAAAACTTGGAGACAAAATTTTCTAATCTGTCATAAAATCTTTAAAATAATTAATTTAAAAGTATAAAGATTCAACAGCTTTCACTAGTATGTAAGAACAACTGATACTTATTGAGTAATATTGGAAATGTTAAGCAAAATTGTTAAAAATGTTTGCTTAACTGTTGGATGGTATTATTGAAAAGTATTATCATTGAGAATACATCAATAGCATTAATACAGACTCGAGATTTCCTCCTCATGGGTCTCTGCAGCTTTGTGATGGATCCTTCCCGGCAATGAAGCTAAGGAAATCAAATATTGGAATGAGACCTCAGTACTATAAAATATAAGCTAAGGTCCTAAAATATAAATAAAAATATTCAATAAGATAACTCTCACTAAGTAGTATTAATTACTAATAATTGTTAGAGCAAAAAGTGCTTTTGATTAAAACATACAGTAAAATTATTTTTGAATAGTATTTCCTCTATCTTATTCTTTTTAACTTGATTTCAGTTTGTGTATGTTTTGTAATGGAATATATTAGTATGAAAGAATATATTTATAATTCCTTTCTGTTTTTGTTATATATGTTTAATATAAACACAATGATGTTTTGATATACGTAGTGAAATGGTTACTATAGTCAAGCAAATTAACATATTAATCATCTCACATAGCTATCACCCATTTTGGAATAAGAGCACTTAAAATCTACTTGTTTAAAAAATGGTTCAATATACAATACAGTATTATTAACTATGGTCTTCATATTAGACTCCAGACTTATGCATAATATACAACTGCATCTCTGTTCCCTTTGGCCCCTATCTCTCTATTTCCTCTCCTGTCCACGTCTCACAACCACTATGCTGTGCACTGGACTTTCTTTTAGATCTCACATAAAAGTGCAATTGTGCAGTATTTTTCTTTTTGTGTCTGCCTTATTTCATGTAATGTTCTTTAAGTTTATCCATGTTGTATAAAATGGCAAGATTTCCCTTTATAAAGCTGAAAAATACTTTATATAATTATATATATATAATAAAATATTCTTGTTAGAAATTGAAAATATATTGAAACAAATTACATATAACAAATTATATATATAATGTATATATATAATGTATAATATATAATATATTATATATATATGTATTATCTATATATAATACACCTATATACATAATTATGGTGGCGATATACATACATACATA